AAACATTTGGAAAGTAATGGTGTCAGAATGAAATTTCTAACAATTGGTTAACATTTTCATAATATTTAAAATCTAGAAAACATTTTGATTTGTGAGTTCTGTTGGTTTAAATAAAGTGCAGTATATTTATTCATTGGAGAATTTCACATCATCCAGTTATAACAGGTGGTTCTCAATCCAGGGCAATCACTCCCCCCACCAGGGGACCTTATCAAGGTCTGGAGATGTTTTTGGTTGTCACCCCTGAGAGTGCATGCTAGTGAGTGGGGCATCTAGTGGGTGGAGGCCAAGATTCTGCTAAACATCCTGCACTACCTGGTTTGATGAACTGGTTGTAATTGTCCCTAATCTAGTAAAGTGTATAATTTAAAAAATAAGTGACATTTGTATGTGAGTTGAAACTGTCCCTCATACCAGTGGGGGGGACACATCTCTGGGAAACAGGTAATACCTTGGCTGTGGCTTGCTGTTAGAAAGCACTCGGTTAATGGTAGTTATTTTCATGATTTAGAAGTTACCTGCAGCTAAAATAGCTTGAGGAACTCTTCCTTGCCAAAAGGACCAGAATAGTTTTATCTCTTTATATCTGAAATGGGGTTAGTTCCTCAGATACTTTTTCTGTTCTTTGGGGGATGGTTATGTATAATTCTTAAGGTTCTGCTAAAGTCTGGTTTAAGTCTTGCAGTCTTTCCTTTAAGGTGCCTTGGAGTTTCTGTGCTTGTGTTATATCTCCCAGTTGGATTCTCTGAGGGCGATCACATTTCTTCGATTTTCAAGTGTCGGATATTTGCTGTCACAATACCACCTACCCTCCCCCGTCTGGGTTGCCACAGTGCTCTGTAGTTTCCACTGCTGTAGGAACTTATCCTGAGTGTTTCACAATTGTTTGCTCACAGCCCCATTTCCCCACTCTGCTCAGCCTTTGAAAATCAGACAAGAAGGATGTCTTTTTCATGGCAGTACCCTCAGTGCTTGGCAACATGAATATTTTTCAGATAAATGAATGATGGAATGTCATAAGGTCCTTCATTGTGACTCAGTTGTGATTATGTTCTTCCAAAATCCTCATCACAATAGTCGTGTTGGATTCATATTCAGCAACGGAATGGTCATTGTTTCATTTTGTGCAAGAACAAACGTATGGTCTCAGGTCTCTGTCTAGTTTTAATGACAGTTCTGTTTGGCGATGTCTTATCCTTTTTTTAAAAATTAAAAAAGAGTTTATTTTGAAAGAGAGAGAGAGAGAAAGAGAGAAAGTGGGGGAGAGGCAGAGAGAGAGAGAGAGAGAGAATTCAAAGCAGGCTCCATGCTGTCAGAGCAGAGCCTGACAGGGGGCTTGATCCCACGAACTGTGAGAACATGACCTGAGTTGACCTCATGAGTCGGATGCCCAACCGATGAGCCACCCAGGTGCCCCTTATCCTTTTAGTACATGCACATCCACTCTCGGTCCGTTCTTATTCGTTATACTCCCCATACACTTTCTGTGCAGCTACTACTCTTGAAAGAAAATTGATGAAGCTAATGTGTTTTTTTGCTGTATGTTTCTGTACTCATTTTATTTGTTGTTTATTTCCTGTCTTGTTTCACAAAGGGTTTGCAAAGGCCAGTAATTGTTCTAACAGGAAATTAGGATATCTAGGCAGGATTCAGGGCAGTGCACAACAGCGCTGCTAACACTGCATTCTAATTTAGGATGAACAAGTCCCAAGATTCTGGTAAAGGCTTCTATTTCTGATACCAGGAAACTAACAGGTTTGGCTGGACTAGAAAAATCAGAAGCATTGACTAGATCCACATTCAGACCTTTCTGTGATTCTTTTTATCAAGTCAACAGCTGCTTACAACCCATTTTGCACCTCCCCTCCCCTTGCCATCCCCAACGTGTCATTAGAAGCGTTTCTTATTTTTGTTTTCCATTTTTCTATACTGGGTCAGCCCTTGCAACATGACAAAAGCGGAGGCTAGGAGAATTTCTAATGTCTTCTGACAAGCAGGTTTTGTGCCGACGAAAGTATTTGGGGTCAGATAGTCCAGGAGTTCCAAATCCTGCTCCACCATCTAAAGTTGAATGACCCAAGATTAGCTAATGCATTTCTTTCAGTTTCAGTTTTTCCATCTGTAAAATGTGGATTATAGTTCCTTCCTCTTAGGGTTGTGGTAAGGATCAAATGAGATCAAGTGCTTAGTAAGGGAGGGGGCTTGATAAATATCATTATCGTCCTAGGGAGGAAGAACAAGTTACAGGTGGGGGAAAAAAAGTGTATTAAGGAAGCCTGTAGCTTCGGTTTTGTACTGATGGACACACACATGTGCATGTGAAAAGACATCTTCAGTTCTATCTAGTGTAGGAATTGGAAGAGCACAGCAAAGACCATCTCCTCCTTTATATACATAAACAGAACATGTGTACATGTACATGCACACCCAATTTAATAATTATAAAACAAACATCCACATTATTACCATCCAGGTTAAGAAATAGATCATAGCACCTTGACACCTTGAATAGCCTCCATTTTCACCCCAGGGGGCCACTATCCTGGCTTTTGCTTTCTTATGGTTTTACCACTACTGTGCATACATCTCTCCCTTGCAGTTTTGGAAACGGTCTGCTTTTGAAATTTGTATTAATGAAATCATCCTTTGTTCTGTTGTCATTTCCTTCATTCAGCATCATGTCAAAACTCATGTCATTGTGTTTAGCTGTATTTATTCCTTTTCATTATAGTATGAAAACACTCCGGTATACTTTGTATTGCTAATGGGACATTTGCATTGCTTCTAGTTTTTGTTTTTATTTTTGTTTTTGGCATTATGTGATACAATATTATTTGTTCATTCTTGGGCATATGAGCCGTAGGATATGCTTGTCTTCAACTTCAACAGCAAATAGAACCAGACTTTTTCAAAGACACTGTACTAATTCATAGTCAGCTATGTATAAATGACTGAAGCTCCACATCTTTGAAAAACACTGCTAGAACTTCCTCCCCTTTTTGGGGGGAGGAGTGCGTGTTATTATATCTCACCGTTTCATGATTATGTATGAGATTGAGCACCCTTTTATACGTTTGTTGGCCATATGGATTTCCTCTTTAGTGAAGTGCCTGTTGAAATCTCCTGCGTTTAAGTGATTTTAAAATGTCCTTTCTGACAATTTCAATGTGTTTACCTATTTGTTGCCGGACAATCAGCCCAAAGTGGCAGGAACCGAGGCACGTTGAAGTTCAAGCTGCCTTAGCTGTAGCACAGAACAAATTGATTTCCCCAAGTAGCAAACACTTCTTACTTCAGCCAATTTTTAAAAAATGTTTATTTTTTGAGAGACCGAACAAGCGAGGGAAGATCAGACAGGGAAGCACAGATTCTGAAGCAGGCTCCAGGCTGTCAGCCCAGAGCCCAAGGCGGGGCTCGAACTCGGGAGCCGTGAGATCACGACCTGAGCCGAAGTCCGAGGCTTAGCCGACTGAGCCACCCAGGTGCCCCCCTACTTTGGCCAGATTTAAGGAACAAGAAAACCAAGGCGGCCTGGCTGTCTTCCTCCTCGCAAGGAGACAGAGGACAGCGCCCTGGCGACCTCCTCAGGGATCCTAGACACAAACGAACGATTCCATAAATGCAGCCCCCTGCTTAACCGTCAATTTCAAACTTCCAGGACCTGCCCGGCCGCGTTTGCCCTTGTGCGTTTTCCATTGGTCACGAGTCAAAGGAAATAACAATCTGATTGGTTCTCCCTTCCACTTCCTCTATCCCTTTTAGGACTTAGGCGGAACTTTGTTGACACGCAGCTGTTCCTCCTAGAAGCGGGCACTCTGATTGGTCCGGACACGGCTGAACCCCGCCCACGCTGTTCGGGGTTCAAATGCAGAGGCGGGAGACCTCGGGCGGAGCGGAACGCGCACTGGCTGGGTCGGCGGAGCGTGAGTGTGAACCCCTCACGCCCATATCTCCCCCACCCCACTCTGCAAACCCGGGGATAGGCCGCCTCCACCCACACCAGTCCCGGCTTTCCCCCCCGCTGCGGGGAGGGTGGTGTTGCCGCCTCCAAGGCTGCCGGGGGCCTGAGGGTCTTCCCAGGCTGGAGGTGCGCGGGTCCCCCTCCGAGGGAGCTGAAAGGTCTGCAGGTGGTGCCGTGGGGCGGGAGGAATTGTGAGATCCTTCTTAAACAGGGTGGGGTCCCGTGTGTGATCCGCCCTGCCTCATTTACCTGTCCGCATTAACTGCATTATTCCGGCTAGTGGAGCGCGGCAGCTCCTTATTATCCGTGTGATCGTGACAATTTTGTGTCTTCACTTTTGGTACCATCCGTCACCTCCAACTTCCAGTGCCTTTCCCTCTGCTCCAGCCACTCCAGTCACTCTCGTCTCCCTGCTGTTGTTAGCGAAGGCCAGGTCCTGCCTCAGAGTCTTAGTTCTGGCTGTTCCCTTTGCCCGGCACACTTTTCTTCCCTCTCCCGCCCACCAGCAAGACTTAACTGCTTACCCACTTCAGGTTTTGCTTCAGATGTTACCTTCTCAGTGAAGTCTACTCTGACTACACTGTTAAAAATTGCTCACACACACCAATTGCCCTTACCTTGCTCTCTCCCTCTCTCCTTTTTTAACCCCTGTAGCACGTATTACTTTCCAACATACTATGTCATTTACTTATTTAAGTCATTGATTCTGTAAGTATTTATTAGAACTTGCTATGTGTCTTGGCTCTGTGTAAGCCCTTGTGGAGCTCCACAAGGGCTTACACTATAGGTGGAGTAGATAATAAATTTATTTATAAGTAAGAGATTATGTCAGATAAGTGTATTACCTCCTGTTATAGTGACTAAAAATCTGCTCTTTAATGTCAGATTTGCCAGACTGAACTTCCTAAGACCTGTGTGGTGACTGTTTTTACCTCCCTGTGCCCAACATCTTGAAGAAGATCAGGATTTTTCAGGCTCTTCCTCCTCAAATTGGTAGCACACACTTGCTCTGCTCCTATATCTCTTCACCTTTGGAGAGATGTTGAAGTTCAAATATGGAGCAAGGAATCTGCTGGACGCTGGTGCTGCTGAACCCATTGCCAGCCGGGCCTCCAGGTTGAATCATTTCTTCCAGGTAACAGGCTGCCAACTCCTTCACCTGCGTGTGTTCCCTTGGCCCCTCCTTTTTGCTGTTATCCTTATAGGACTGAGGATAATCTTCTAGGAGAAATCTCATTGGATGTTTTATATTGCTGATAGTTTTGGAAAAAGGAGCCATTGTACAGACAGAGGAGTAGATAGCTGAACTTGTCCTTGAAAGGAGATCTCTCTCTTTTTTTAAAAAATTATTTCTCACACTTTACACATCTATACTAAGTGTTGTCCTTTTATTAAAGAAAGAAAAACAAAATTTATCAAGAAAATATTTGACCATAATTGCTATAGGTGTAATCCTATTTTCATTCAAGAGATGTTTATTTAAAACAAACAAAACAAAGCTTGATAAATACCCACACCTGTGAAAACCATAGTCCACTCAAGATATAGAGCATTTCTGGGTTGCATGGGTGGCTCAGTCGGTTGGGCATTTGACTCTTGAACTCAGGGCCTGACTTCAAGCCCCATGCTGGGCTCTGTGCTGGGTATGAAGCCTACTTAAAAAAAAAAAAAAAAAAAGAAAGAAAGAAAGAAAAAAAGATATAAAATACTTCTATCATCCCAGAAGTATTAAAGCTTACTATCAGGAAATAATTTCCAAGTGGATTTCTAATTCTTTTGTTTTTGATGTAGATGAAACATTGTTGGTGTAGAAATCCTTGTTTGACTTATATATTCACAAGTCGGGGACAATATGGATAGTAGTGAAGATTTAGGTTTGAATCCTGGCCCCACACTAGTTAGCTGTGTTACCTTGAGTGACTCATTTGCCTTCTCTGAACCCATTTGCCACTTTTTTTTTTTTTTTTTAAGATTTATTTTATTTATTTTGAGAGAGAGAGTGCATGAATGGGTGACGGGCAAAGAGAAAGGGAGAGAGAGTCCCAAGCAGGCTCTGCACTGTCAGTGTGGAGCCAGATGTGGGGGCTCAAACTCACAAACCATGAGATCGTGACCTGAGCTGAAAACCAAGAGTCAGACGTTCAACCAACTGAATTACTAAGGTGCCTGCATTTGCCACTCTTGAAAATAGAGGTTAGAGCACCAAATTCAGAGGGTTGTCATGAGGATTAAATGATAATTTATGTAAAGCACTTAGCTCTTGATAAGCCAATAGTTATAAATAGTAACTATTATTAATGTTAAGTGTAGAAATGATATTAGTTATGGTAATGATAAATTTATTTTTAAAAAAAAATTTTTTTTTCAACGTTTTTATTTATTTTTGGGACAGAGAGAGACAGAGCATGAACGGGGGAGGGGCAGAGAGAGAGGGAGACACAGAATCGGAAACAGGCTCCAGGCTCTGAGCCATCAGCCCAGAGCCTGACGCGGGGCTCGAACTCACGGACCGTGGGATCGTGACCTGGCTGAAGTCGGACGCTTAACCGACTGCGCCACCCAGGCGCCCCGGTAATGATAAATTAAAAAAAAAAATTTAATGTTTTTATTTAATTTTGAGAGAGAGAGCACAAGCAGGGGAGGGTCAGAGAGAGAGGGAGACACAGAACCCAAAGCAGGCTTCAGGTTCCAAGCTATCAGCACAAAGCTCGATGTGAGGCTCGAACTCATGAACCTTGAGATCATGACCTGAGTTGAAGTTGGACGCTTAACCAACTGAGCCACCCAGGTGACTGAGCCACCCAGGCGCCCTAGTAATGATGCATTAAAAAAAAAAGATTTTAAGTAATCTTTACACCCCATGTGGGACTTGAGCTCAGAACTCTGAGATCAGGAGTTGCATGCTCTACTGACTGAGCCAGCCAGGTGCCCCAGTAATGTTTACTTAACAGTAACTCTATTTTTAAATTTTATTTTAATTTACATTTATTTAAATTATATTTTAAATTTTATGTTTACTTAACAGTAATTATATTTAGGAGGGTATTTATGCATGGATACCTGTATGATGATAAATACTAATACTTTTTTGATGACATTTCCCCCCCAAAATACTGGTATTGGGGAATGTTCAAACAGATCAGTGGAGACAGACTGAAGGCTTAGGTTGTTCTATGCCATCTTCCCTGTTGCCATTTTAAGCCATGAGATATTTTTCACAAATGAATAGTCTGCCTCTGACCCTAGCTGACTGGAGTACTGCCACATTTTAGCCCCTCTACATTTTACTCCAAAACTTTTCCAACTTCTTACAAAATTTACTAAGGGCTTATAGTATGCTCATTATGTAACAAGTGTGGCTTCCAGAGAGCTGGGTACAGGGCCAGCGTGCTCCTGATTATCTCGCATCAGAACAGATGTAAGGACTGTTTTGACTTACATTTTAAATAGGAGGAGACAGGGGCGCCTGGGTGGCGCAGTCGGTTAAGCGTCCGACTTCAGCCAGGTCACGATCTCGCGGTCCGTGGGTTCGAGCCCCGCGTCGGGCTCTGGGCTGATGGCTCAGAGCCTGGAGCCTGTTTCCGATTCTGTGTCTCCCTCTCTCTCTGCCCCTCCCCCGTTCATGCTCTGTCTCTCTCTGTCCCAAAAATAAATAAACGTTGAAAAAAAATAAATAGGAGGAGACAGGCAGCAAGAGAGGCAAGGACTCGTCCAGGATCATGCAGCTTGTAAATGGCAGCGCCAAGCTCCAGAGATCGGACATGTAACCACTGGCGACATTGCCAGTGTGTGTCAGAGTTTATTAAATGTATATTATATTTAAGTGTCATTATAGAAGCAAGGATTGTGGGTAGATCCCCAGTTCATCTTTTTTTATGATGAGTTCCTCCCTGCCTCCACGACTGCTATTATTTGCAACTGTAGCATACACATGACATTTGTCTAAACAGGCACTGGATACTGTTCTTTCCCGTACAGTGCTATTTTACCAAGGTTTAGATAGAGTAGTGATTTTGTTTTCCATCCAGGAAAGTACTCTAGATTGGGTCTTAGCTTCTACTAACATTCTGCTTAACTTTCCAACGACTTCTCTGTTGGCGGGCGGCAGATTTTTAAATTTTTGAGCCAGCAAAGTTTCACAAATTTGCTGGGCTAATCTAGGTTTGCCAGCTTTTTATTTTGCCAAGTAAAGGATGTACAGAGAAAGGCCTATTATCTCCAGTCCTTTCATTTCAAAAATAAGGGACTTTTTTTTTTTTTTTTTTTTTT